CACTCCAGTCTCAAGCACCAGAGTGCCTGTGGCGATCATTTTGCCCCATTTGTTAGAAAACAAAGATTTGCAAAATCGTTTGTGCGCAGAGCGTACACAAAGCGGAAACCGGGGTCTGTCCATTGGACTTGTCCTTCTTTTTCCCTTTCTTCGCGCACGCCTTAATGATGAGATAAAAAGAAAAAGATGTGCAAATTTCATGGAATACAAGAAACTGCAGCCTTTACCCACGGTGTCATGAAACTCCTTAGCCTGGCAATTTAATCGCTTCGGACCTCTGCAATTCCTATTCTGCAAAGTGGCTTTCCATTCGGCCCACTCCTGTTGCTTCCGCTGAAATATGTCCTGCCATCTTCCGCTAAACAAATCGGGCAGTCTTCATTTTCAAGTGAAAGCCGCCACTGCCAAGTCGGGTTAAATCGAAACAAGGAGCCGAAATAAGGCGCGAAGGAAGCTCCGGCGACATGCTTCTCCACCTCTGTCCCGCCAGCTTTGCGACGCAAAGGGAGAGAGGACGAAGATCCAAGCTCCGCTTTTAAAGCCATACGATCCTGGGCCAAATATACGCCGAACGAGCAATGGCGCTGATTGAGAATTGGTTTCCTTTCGGATTTTGAAGATGGCAGCATCTTGACAAAGGAAAAGTATCCAGACCAGACAAAGCACCAAAGCCTCCGCCCACAGGGCGAGTAGGCGGTGTTCTCCGCTCCTTGCCGACAATGAAGAGAGTTTGGCATTGGGGCCGAAAGATATGTTGTTGGATAATCAAAATCCGTTTCGGAGGCAGCACGGTAACAGAAGGTACATATACTAGTAAAGGATAATTTTAGATATGCACATGCGGGTCAGGCGCGTTTGAAGTTAAAGGAGCCAAGACATTGCTGCCCTCTCAAGACATTTCTGCCCTGACTGTCAATGCTTGAAAATGGTAATAATGCGTCAAGGCATTCCTGCCCTGTAACAGCCGCCAAGACATTTCTGCCCCGAGCGCCCGCCACAGGACTAGTGATGCGATCAGCAATGATCGGGAACAGGTCCAGTATCATCATCAGAGACGATTCCAGGAACATCTAAAGCGCATCTAAATAGCGAAGCAAGATGTTAAACAATATGTAATGGTATGTTTTTCAAGATCACTGTGGAATATCACAGTAGCTAGTACTTTGTCACCCTTGGATTTGCAGACTTTGACACAATCTGACCCACCCTTTCTGCGATAAAGATAATATTGACAGACGCCCGGACTGACCACCGGAAGTTCTTCTCCCTCCTCAGGGACACGCTCTCTACCTGCAGCCTGGAGAGAGAATCTATTGCACTAACATGCGTAGCGCATCCGAGATAAGAATCGACGGAAAAGAGGAGGATACCGACGCCCTAGCATGGACAGTAGAACTTTCCCTAACTAACTCTTTCCCTCACTAACTCTTTCTTTGACTAACTCTTTCCCTGACATTCTAAAAGTTACAAATAACTCTGTCCCTAACGAACTCTTCCTTTGACTAACTCTTTCCCTGACAGTCTAAAAGTTACAATTAACTCTTTCCCTAACTAACTCTTTCCCTCACGAACTCTTTCTTTGACTAACTCTTTCCCTGACATGCGTCAGAGACATGCAACAAAAAAAGTTGCACGGCCTCCTTTGCTGCGCACTCCGGTTCTCCTTGTTTTTCCTCGCCCTGAGGCAGCAGCCACAAATATGAACGTTAGAACATCGGTGCGCGATTACAGATCGCAGAAAATGTTCCAACCGTTGACTTGTCTTTCTCAATGTTCCTACCCTCGATAAGTCGAAATGACAGCTTTCTTTTTGAACCCATCTACCTTTATGTTTTTTGGGCCAGTTCTCTAAAAGGCACGTCAGCCTTCTTTGCTTTGCTCTTCAATCTTTTTCCACTTTTCTGGGAATGGGGCACTGCTGCTGGCACCTACGCATGCTGCGCGATGACATTGCAGTTTACAGAACAGATGGTGGGACGAGCAGAAGACAACGACTCCCTATGAGCAACGCACCCACAAAGGACGTCCTTTTTTTCCTTGCTGCGTCTTCTTCTTTTTTTTGTTTTTCTTTGCAGCCCTCTTTCGGACCGGATCACCCATCAACTGTTCGAATTTCCGTCGTGACATCTTTAACTCCTTGGCAGTCGACATGCGTTCCTTTCTCTTTTTTTGAGCTACAGGCTCATCCACAGCAGCATTGGTGGTTTGGTCAGCCTCATTGTCAGCACGCGAAGAGGCAGCTTCTTCGGCAATGGCTTCCTGCAAACCGTTAGAATGCCTGATGGAATTTGTGCACATTTTCCATTAGCAGTCTGCAGTCTGTGGATGAAAGCATGCTTGCTTACACAACAACACATGTCATTTACCCAAAGAAGGGTCCTTCCGGTCAGAGGCGGTTTGACAGTTGTCCGGCAGCAGCGTCTCAGTGGATTCAACATCTGAATCTTCGGATGCGCGTTCTGTCGGCGCCGTCTCCAAGGTAACATCCTGGCCGAGTATATGGAAAGTGCACGTTGGTTCAACCGTGCCAAACGTATAGAATGAGAAATGGAGAAAGTGCTGGTTCACTTGACATATATATATATATAGAGCACTCTTGACCATTGCAATGTCCAGGTGCTCCTCTATTTTAAAGGGGAACCGGAAGTCCAGGTGCTCCTCTATTTTAAAGGGAAACGGGAAGTGCAGGTGCTCCTCTATTTTAAAGGGGAACGGGAAGTCCAGGTGCTCCTCTATTTTAAAGGGAAACGGGAAGTCCAGGTGCTCCTCTATTTTAAAGGTGCTCCTATTTTAAAGGGGAACGGGAAGTCCAGGTGCTCCTCTATTTTAAAGGGGAACGGGAAGTCCAGGTGCTCCTCTATTTTAAAGGGAAACGGGAAGTCCAGGTGCTCCTCTACTTTAAAGGTGCTCCTCTATTTTAAAGGGGGAATACGTGCTCCCCTCCTGTATGTGTATATATATATACACACACACACAAAACAAGCTTTCGCTATTAACCGTTTTTTTTCGCTATTAACCGTTTTTTTTCGGTATTAAGCATTACCCTGTATATATATATACATATATACGTATATATATATATATGTGTATATATGTATATATATATATATTTATTTGTCAATAGGGGTGCGTATTGATTATCGCATACCTACTGGTTGTTAAATAGGAGAAACTGGGGGAACCGACTCTATTAGTCAACAAGTGAGGTTCAGGACATCTATGCCAGCAACGATTGGGAAACGAAAAATCATCCCCAACACAAAAAAGTGGATAGTTTAACACCCGAAGTCTCGAAGTAATCATCAACCACCATGGGTCTTTTCAAGGTCTTTTCCTTAAGCAGCCACTGCTCAGCCACAGGGATTTCCTTCTTGGAAAATCATCCCACCATCCGCATAAACTGCCCCAGTTTTAGCATAACTATGATCTATTTATGCATGGAATAACCGAATAACCCACTGAATTGGGACTGGGTATGTCTGAAAATAGATAGCCCTATAGAAACCTCATTCCATCCACTGGTGAATCATATTATCCCCATTAAATGGCTATACTTGAGGTATCCCCAATTTTCAGACAAACCCCATATAAGATCGCCGGAAAACATCAACCACATACGATCCGTATAAGATGTGCATCCCACTTCGTAGGTGGTTTATAATCCATATACAAACCATATAATCCCATATTTTTCTAAGTGGCGATATTCCAGGTCCATGTTTATATATATATAACACTGGGGGTATACTGTATAACCCATTTTAACCCAGTGGGGCCCACACCCCCAAGATCGGATCCACCTCTCGCCGTGCTTCCATTTATCGAGGACCTCAAAGCCGCGCGCATAGGCCTGACGTTCACCAGAAAGCAATCCCACAAAAGAAATGTTGAAATAGTGATGAACTGAACCCTTCCTGCATCTTTTTGGGGGTGCATCTAGGGATTTGGATTCCGTAGATGTGGATTTGTAGCTGATAGTTGATAAAAGTGATTTGCAAGTGGGGGAAATTCGATATGTTTGGATTTATTAGATATATCCAACTAGTTGGCTGGGTTTACGAACCAACAAACGTAAGTTAACTGGGGGGACCTTTCCTGCAGGATATACACACTGTGAATACAAAAATAGTACCGTGTCACATGGTGAGTTTTTTTCATAAATAGCTATTATTGCGACTATATCTTCTTCACCATCGATAAATCATCCATAAACCATCCATAAACCACTTCTGATTGGTGCTTAGGTGCTTACTTCGCCACCCTGAAAACAAAGATGTGGCGAACCAGTCATATTTTGGGTGTCCCCACCAGACCACCGATGAAAAAAAAATCAACCAATGGGGATTTGACATGCCGAATGACCCACTATGAATCAGGATAAATGACCCTATGATTTTTTTTCATCATGGTGAATATGAATGTGATGATGAATATTTGTATGATGGATAACGACTATGAATGATGAATAATGATCATGAATATGAATGAGTGCAGTTCCAGATGATCTCCATAACCAGCATGGCCCTTTGCTGCCGCATTTTCTCGGGCATTGGCGGATGATCAACGCCACTGCGGCACTGGGCGGATGCTGGGTGATCAGAATACAGAAGTGTTGAAATGGCTGGCTGAAAATCCGGTATGCAGTATACATTATTATACCATATTAATACCTCGTTCAATCCACTGGTTAATCAATGGCCTAATCAGCATTTTCCTTTTCCCTGTTCACTGGCAATAAATTTCAGACACACCCTGTGCTGCCACCTGACACTTTGCTAGACAGGTGAGATCCATTTCCGACAACCCTGTGCATCCACCTAGCACTTCCTAAGATCTTATTGATCCATCGCCTCCGACCACTATGTTTTCACCTTTAAAAAATCTGTAGGTGCTCATCATCATGGTTTTTCATCATGGGTCATTGGATGAATCGTCCCCTTTCGCCCTGGAAACCAAGAATTGATATTAGAACCCAACGCATCACTTGTCCCGTTGTCACCATCAACCATGCACGTTAGAACTTTCATGACCATGTATTTCAATCCATCAGAAACCCGTTAGTTTCACGGGCATTTCGAAGCCCTTTTCGTCTCGTTTTAACGACATGTCTCTTCCGTCGGTCGTAACGATGGTCGTGACGATGGTCAGGTCCCTTCCTGGTAGATCCAGAGCAAGGTTTCCCTCAAGCTTTCCAACGTGTCCTGGTGGAACGGCCCCAAATACCTCGGCTCAGGACCCACATGGGGTGATGATTCATACTCTATATATATATATATATATGTATATACATATGTATATGTA